ATGGATTGAGATCGACTACATAATTAGTACTATTATCTACTCTATCAATGGTATAGTTAGGTTAAGATTTTACGTTAAAAAGTTTAAAAGTTATATTTTTGTACCTACTGTGTAGAGTGATTACGTGCGCAGATATCTATACTGTTACCTTTTATTTTGAATGAATAATAAATGAGGAATGTTAAAATGTTCGTAAACATTTGTATTTTCACCTATATTAGGCGTATTCTATTATAAACACTTTTGTGTTTGTATCTTCTCCGGAAAGTCCGGGACGTAACTGTTAATGTGTCACCGTAGGGGCTGGTGGTTAATGTGTCACCGTAGGGGCTGGTGATTAATGTGTCACCGTAGGAGCTGGTGGTTAATGTGTCACCGTAGGGGCTGGTGATTAATGTGTCACCGTAGGAGCTGGTGGTTAATGTGTCACCGTAGGGGCTGGTGATTAATGTGTCACCGTAGGAGCTGGTGGTTAATGTGTCACCGTAGGGGCTGGTGATTAATGTGTCACCGTAGGGGCTGGTGGTTAATGTGTCACCGTAGGGGCTGGTGATTAATGTGTCACCGTAGGGGCTGGTGATTAATGTGTCACCGTAGGGGCTGGTGATTAATGTGTCACCATAGGGGCTGGTGGTTAATGTGTCACCGTAGGGGCTGGTGGTTAATGTGTCATCTTAATCTAATATAAAAAAGTAAGAGTAACTAAAAGGTACATTGCAGCAGAATTTCATTTCAACATAATAACTATAATAACAATTGATTGTATTAATTATACTGGTGATGAGAATGTGGTGCATAATAAACTAGCTGCTAGTGCGGCAACAATTAAATTTTTATGTTATAATGGCAAAAAATATTATGTTTTGAAGGAATATTGAGGGCACTGTTGAATTATATAATTTAAATTTACCTAAATTCAGCTCTTTACGTGTTAATTGCGATGCCTTTGTACAAAACAGGATGAGGCGTCTTGATCACGGAGTGTACCGAGACCATATATAATGTTACAGGACATCATTAGTAAGTTCAGGCCACCAAGTTAGAAAGGTTAAATATCCCACAAGGAATCCACAGGGGAAATAACAGTTCGGTTATATAGACTATGTCTAGGTTACAGATGCAACTGGGAGATTGGTGAACCCAGACAGAGGGAGTGCATCTTCTGCCAAACAATCACAGAAAAGCCACTGCTTCACTATCTCCTGGAATGTGAAGCAACCAACTGACGATTAAATGCGAACTTAGCACACAATATACATTTACTAAAAAAATATATAAAATATATATACCACTTACGGGGGTGGTATATGGGTCTGGCGGGCTATTCATGCCCGTGCCTCCTCTTGGGTGGCTTAATCTTCCTCAATCAATCAATCATTAGTGAGTACACTGAGATCTGAACCTTAGATAATGTTATTGGACTCCTTTTAACTGATAATGTCTCTTCAACGCCAGCTGAACTTCACGCTGTATTAGGTTGCTTAAAGGAAATAGTAAGCAAAAGTAGATATGCCAGTTTGTATTGATAGTAGAAGAGCGTTGGATTAGATAGTAAAGACCTGGGGCCAGATTCATGAAGCAGTTATGCGCTTACGAACCTGTCCTTACGAACGAACCACACTTACGAACCTGTCCATCTTTTCTCAATCTTTGTCGGCTTTGTTTGCAATTATTAAACAGTTAATGAGCTCCGAAGCACCAGGAGGCTGTTTATAACAATAACAACAGTTGATTGACAAGTTTTCATGCTTGTAAACTGTTTAATAAATGTTACCAAAGCCGTCAAAGATTGAGGAAAGATGTACACGTTCGTAAGTGCTTGCGTAACTGCTTCGTGGATTAGGCTCCAGTATAGCAGCATATTGTGCGCGAGTGAAGCGAGATTATTAGGAAAGCAAAGACAAATTATAGGCTTAGATTTTTGTGGATCCCTGCACATGAAGACATAGTGTCAAGTGAGGCTGTTGACACAACAGTAAATAGTATCCATTCCTCAACAGTATTATCCACGTTCATATCTAAATTAGAACGTCAGCCATGACTCGTCGTGTTGATTACAGCGGGAAAAACCAGTATTTACCCAAGTCTTTCCTAAATCTAAACTTATCCAATTTATATCCATTGTTTCGTGTTCTGTCCTGTGTTGATACTTTTAATACCCTATTAATATCCCCCGGTTATGTCCATTCATCCACTTGTAAACCTCTATCATGTCACCCCTAACTCTTCGACTTTCCAGTGAATGCAACTTAAGCTTTGTTAATCTTTCTTCATATGAAAGATTTCTAATTTGGGGAATTAACTTAGTCATCCTACGCTGGACACGTTCAAGTGAATTTATATCCATTCTATAATACGGCGACCAAAACTGAACTGCATAATCTAAATGGGGCCTAACTAGAGCAAGATATAGCTTGAGAACCACACCAGGTGTCTTGTTACTAACGCTGCGATTTATAAATCCAAGTGTCCGATTTGCCTTATTACGAACATTTATGCATTGATCCTTTTGTTTTAAATTCTTACTAATCATAACTCCCAGATCCCTTTCGCAATCCGACTTCGCAATCACAACACCATCTAGCTCGTATCTTGTAACTCTATCATCATTACCTAACCTCAGAACTTTACATTTATCAGCATTAAACTGCATCTGCCAATCCTTTGACCATTTCAAAACCCTATCTAGATCAACTTGAAGTGATAGTGAGTCCTCCTCCGAATTAATTTCCCTACCGATTTTCGTATCATCGGCAAATTTGCAAATGTTGCTACTCAAACCTGAATCTAAATCATTTATATATATTATAAACAACAGAGGTCCCAGGACAGAGCCTTGAGGCACTCCACTTACAACATTTTCCCACTCACTTGATTCCATTTATACTAACTCTCTGTTTCCTTTGGTATAGCCATGCCCTAATCCAGCTTAATATAGCACCCCCAATACCATGAGACTCTATTTTTTTAATCAGTCTTTCATGTGGCACTGTATCAAAAGCTTTGCTAAAGTCAAGGTATACAACATCGCAATCCTTACCACTATCAACTGCCTCAACAATGCTAGAATAAAAAGATAACAAATTTGTTAAACATGAACGGCCATTTATAAAACCATGTTGCGACTCAATTATTAATTTATGTTTTTCAAGATGAAGACGAATTTTATTTGCTATTATAGATTCGAGTAACTTTCCCACAATAGACGTTAGGCTAATTGGTCGATAGTTAGACGCAAGTGATCTATCTCCTTTCTTAAAAACTGGTATCACATTAGCAACTTTCCAAAACTCTGGCACTCTGCCTGACTCTATTGATTTATTAAATATGGTTGACAGTGGGTCACAAAGCTCCTCTTTGCATTCTTTAAGCACCCTAGCAAACACTTCATCCGGCCCTGGGGATTTGTTTGGTTTGAGTTTTACTATTTGTTTAAGAACATCCTCCCTGGTAACTGCTAAACTCGTCAACCTGTCCTCGTCCCCACCCACATAGACTTGTTCGGCTGAAGGCATATTGTTAAGTTCCTCTTTAGTAAATACAGATACAAAATATTTATTAAAAATAGATGAACGACTAGCAATAAAGTGATGAATTAAGCAATCATCAAAGCAATGAGTAACACTGATAATAAAGTTGTATTTCAAATGTCAAAATAATTTCCATTTTATATTTTTCAATTTTTATTATGTAGTAATACTAATGATACATAAGAATAAAAGGAGGTCAGAAGGTTTATAATTGGCCCATACTAGGCGTTAGTAGGCAGCTCCTATTTATATCTATAATACTATTTTCCTATTATCTATTATTCCTTATGAATATTTAGTTTAATTACTACAATAGTAATATTTCCGTGTTAACTAAAAATATTAATAGCACCAATTTATTATTATTAAGTGAGTGTTGGTGTTTGTAGGTTAAGATAATTATGAATGAGCTATGTATAATTATATTGTAGTGATATTTATGTTCTTAACTGTTTCTGCTGGGGTAAGTATTATTGGAATTGTAAATGTCAATATTTGTTAGTAAAAGTCTTTATTTTAATTTTTATTATGGCAGTATTAGTGGTTATTTGCCATATTTTGTTCATGGTTATGGTAAGATGAAATGCAGCCTCATGCGAGACCTTCCTGTATCATACACTCAGTGACCTTCCTGCGTCATACTCCCAGCTTAGTGACCTTCCTGCGTCATACTCCCAGCTTAGTGACCTTCCTGCGTCATACTCCCAGCTTAGTGACCTTCCTGCGTCATACTCCCAGCTTAGTGACCTTCCTGCGTCATACTCCCAGCTTAGTGACCTTCCTGCGTCATACTCCCAGCTTAGTGACCTTCCTGCGTCATACTCCCAGCTTAGTGACCTTCCTGCGTCATACTCCCAGCTTAGTGACCTTCCTGCGTCATACTCCCAGCTTAGTGACCTTCCTGCGTCATACTCCCAGCTTAGTGACCTTCCTGCGTCATACTCCCAGCTTAGTGACCTTCCTGCGTCATACTCCCAGCTTAGTGACCTTCCTGCGTCATACTCCCAGCTTAGTGACCTTCCTGCGTCATACTCCCAGCTTAGTGACCTTCCTGCGTCATACTCCCAGCTTAGTGACCTTCCTGCGTCATACTCCCAGATTAATGACCTTCCTGCGTCATACTCCCAGCTTAGTGACCTTCCTGCGTCATACTCCCAGCTTAGTGACCTTCCTGTATCATACTCCCAGCTTAGTACAAATCATCAACAACATAAAATTAAAAACATGATCTCAAATGAGGAACGAAAGATTATTAAACTTTATTGCTATACTTTAATATTTTACAGTTTACCTTTCACAAATACTTTTGTCATTATTACTTTGTGAACGGCAAGTAAAGCTAAATACAACACGTTCCTACTATATACAGTATTAAGTGTATTCAATACAATAACCTAATTTTATGAACTGCTTAGGGGTATAGCCAGGTACAGATGTGTTAGTGTGTACGTGAATGTTTGGTGTTAGATGTTATATACAAGAGGTATTGAGAATGTCGTGGAGGCGGTGTGAGTACGGCTGAGGGTGAGAGCTGGGGGCTTCCTGGGGGCTGGGGACTTCCTGGGGGCTAGGGATTACCTGGGGGCAAGGGACACTATGTTCCCCCTGGGGGTAGGGGGAACCATGTACCCCCTGGGGGTACGGAGTACTATGTTCAACTAGGGGGTGAGAAGGTTCTCCCTCACACGTTCTGGAGATCGGTATCTCTGCCTCAGATGTGGGAGAATCTGGCAGTGTTGATGCAGGGAAATCGTCTTCTAGGGTTGGTAGGTCGTTGACATCATGTGGGAGATCATCATCGTCGTCGTCGTCGTCTTCGTCGTCATCATCATCACAGTTCTCAATGTCAAGGTGGTCGTCAGATTGTATGGGGGTCGTCCGTGTTCGTCTGTTCTCGTGGGTCTTGACATGTTTGTTTAGGTGGTCGGAGCGCATGAAGCGTTTACCACACTCTACGCACAGGAATCGCTTCTCTCCGGTGTGAGTTCGCAGGTGTCGCTGGAGCTCGTCGGAGCGAGTGAACGCCTTGTTGCAGAAGAGCCAATTACACACGAACGGGCGTTCTCCGGCGTGCCAGCGAAGGTGCGCCTTCAGGTGAGAGGTCTTCCCATAGATTTTAGCGCAGCCTGGCACGTGACAGACGTGCTGTTTCTTCTTGCCAGCCTGGCCGTCCTGGGAGACATCTTGACAGTTAGGACAGCGGCATCTGCGACAACGGCGAACATTTACAGCGCCTTGGCTCTTGAGGAGGGCGGCTGCGATCTGACTTTGGTGGTGAAGGAACGCCTCCTGCGTCATGTTGTATGAGACCGGCTGGTGCAGACTTGAAGGGAAGCCTGTAGCCACTTGTCCTACTGACCCCACCATCATACCAGGGTACTGCTGCTGATGTTGCTGCTGCGGCTGCGGCTGCTGCTGCTGCTGCTGGGGATGGTACTGGTAATTGTGGGGGATGGGCGGCGCAGTGCCGACGGTGCTGCCAATACTCCACCAGGAGCCAGACTCGCCTTCCTTGGGAGGTGTGTGGTGGTGGTCAAGTGGAGGGGACATGGGTGGAGTCACGCCGCCAACAAGAGCCTGCTGTGGGTAGTGGTGGTGTAGGCCGCTGAAGGCTCCATGGACTCCTACATTAGCAGAGGCAGGGTAGGACAGATCAGGAAAGCGGTAGAGAGGACTGAGGGGCGTAGAAGAGCCGCCCAAGCCGTAACTGCCACCCATCCCCGACCACAGCTGGGGACTACCCACTCCGGGACTGTTGAACATGGCTCCTCGCTGAAAATAAACACCGAACATTAAAATATGCAAAATATCTCGGGTGTGGCTTAAGAAATGTGAGCCTAACATAAGTGGGGAAATAACAACATTCAAAAATATTATAATAAAGAACACAAATGAGAACATTATACCGGAGACCAATCAGAACATGGATAATTAATATAATTTATAATTGCCCCAAATTTATTTTGCCCAAGTTTCTCGTAACGCTGTGCGTATTAGTGGCTTTGGGTATTGCATGTACTAGCTCTATCTGTAAATCCAACATTATATTTGTAACTCATCTTCTATGTATGTGCTTTTACCTGAATAAATATTTTGATTTTGATTTTTTGAGAAAGAATAAATATAAATTGGACGAGGTGTGAACAAGTGACAGCAGTGATGCCTCTCGCGTTTATTATTAATAATATGCGTCAATAAAAATGGAGTAAATAGCAAGTAATCAATTTGCAAACGAGTGTACACAAATATATATACGTAGCAATATTGCTTGAACACAAGGCTCTGGAAAGCAAGACGGTGGCAAATGAAGCCTAATAGGTGCTAAAATTAATTGAATATTGGAAAATCAGATTGCGTAATGAATGTGGTAGTAATTAGTATAGACGTACAAGCAAGATACTAGCGTCCTAATGATTGTAATAAGACCAGTGAGACTTTATACCCCACAAGGGCGTATAAAGTATGAGGTGGCATACTTTATAAAGTCATACTTGTGGTATAAAGTCATAACTGAGGTTATCTTGCCTTACAACCTAGCATGACACTGGCTCTTCCGTTGCCCTAATACAGGATAAATATACACTACAAAATCATACAATGAAGATTGCTAATGCTATTTCCAGCTTCAATAAACTATCTTACGAGAATAAATTAAGAACAATAAAATTGGAATCTCCCCCACCCCCTTTAAAAATGTTAATAGGGGGAGGCCTGACAAGTATAAAAAATGGACGAAGATAGCGCAAAGGTAACATAAGCCAAGTGACGAAACTATAAAGATATAACTCGCGATAACGAAATCAAACTAGAAAATATTTAAGATTACAACAGATATATGAAACCTTGACTTAGTTTAACTAAGTCAAGGTTTCTGCGCCTCTCGTGTGCCAGCACTTACACTATTTCTGCCTCGCATGAACCAGAAACCTTTTTTCCACATTTCTTATGTTCAACGACTTTAAACTTTACGAATGTGTAAGTGGAGCCTTACCTGCTGGAGAAGATGTTGAGTGGAGTGGTGTGAAGTAGCTCCTGCCATGATGATTGCCAACCTCACTCGCACAAACAATTATCTCCTCGTCTGCTTGAATGCAAAGCTTGCCTGCCTTCCGTGACCTCTCGATGCTCTTCGAACTCCTAGAGCTGGGCACGTAACGTGACAAGATTTCTTGAGACGAGTCACTTATATGCACCGGGGTCGACCAATGAGAAGTCCCGACCTTCGTTGACCCCGCCCCCTCTCCCCCTTATCGCCAATCACAGCCTTACCTTCGATGGAGCCCTATGCTGACCCCGCCCCTCGTCCTCGTGTCACCAATCACAATCTTCCCTTTAGCGAAGCCTACAATAATTTATTTATATATATTTTTAATTACTTATAATGCGATTGAAAAGGAATATCATTGGCAATGTAATTTTTATTTTGCTACTTTCACCATGTATATATTCTTACCAGTGATCACAGTGGGATATTGTATCTTACCAGTGATCACAGTGGGATATTGTATCTTACCAGTGATCACAGTGGGATATTGTATCTTACCAGTGATCACAGTGGGATATTGCATCTTACCAGTGATCACAGTGGGATATTGTATCTTACCAGTGATCTCAGTGGGATATTGCATCTTACCAGTGATCACAGTGGGATATTGCATCTTACCAGTGATCTCAGTGGGATATTGCATCTTACCAGTGATCACAGTGGGATATTGTATCTTACCAGTGATCTCAGTGGGATATTGCATCTTACCAGTGATCACAGTTGGATATTGCATCTTACCAGTGATCTCAGTGGGATATTGCATCTTACCAGTGATCACAGTGGGATATTGCATCTTACCAGTGATCACAGTGGGATATTGCATCTTACCAGTGATCACAGTGGGATATTGCATCTTACCAGTGACCACAGTGGGATATTGCATCTTACCAGTGATCACAGTGGGATATTGCATCTTACCAGTGACCACAGTGGGATATTGCATCTTACCAGTGATCACAGTGGGATATTGCATCTTACCAGTGATCTCAGTGGGATATTGCATCTTACCAGTGATCACAGTGGGATATTGCATCTTACCAGTGATCACAGTGGGATATTGCATCTTTCCAGTGACCACAGTGGGATATTGCATCTTACCAGTTATCACAATGGGATATTGTATCTTATCAGTGATCTCAGTGGGATATTGCATCTTACCAGTGATCACAGTGGGATATTGCATCTTACCAGTGATCACAGTGGGATATTGTATCTTACCAGTGATCACAGTGGGATACTGCATCTTACCAGTGATCTCAGTGGGATATTGTATCTTACCAGTGATCTCAGTGGGATATTGTATCTTACCAGTGATCACAGTGGGATTCTAGTTTGCTCGGAAGGTAGAGAGTGCAGGAAAGGGCGGTGGAGAGGGCGGGGACGTCAGAAGGGGCGGTAGAAAGGGCGGTGGAGAGGGCGGGGACGTCAGAAGGGATGGTAGAAAGGGCGGGTATGGGCGGTCGAGTGGGAGGGAGAGCGGTGTTACCAAACAAGAGATATATAATGATTACCGAGGAGCCTATCCTGCCCAGCCTAAACAGCCTATCCACTCCCCCTTTACCTACTAAACACACAAGCCATGCATCTCCTGTAGCATACACCCTTCCTCCCTATTTTAATTTATTGATTAAATTATTACTTAGAATTACAAACAAAACAGACCATTAGATGCAAACTAGGCTGATTGTTTATGTAAAGATTTGAGCCACAAATATATCATTTTATATATTATAAAAATGAAAGAGAGTCGAATTTCATGAGAAGGGCTTGTCCAGCTCCTCATGTTTACTACTCGATTAATAAAGAAGTGCTTTATTTTTGGGGTTTATGTAGATATGGTCCCACGTCAGGGTAGTGCATGCTAGAATAAGGCTTAATAGGTTGTATACAGCTTTTGGAAGCTCCTTTCTTCAAATTCTTGAAGGACGTTGGCTAGTGGTAGATGCTTCTGATGTAACATGTAACATGTAGACACACACACACATGTAAACATGTGTGTGTGGGTGTGTGGTGGTGTAGTTGGCGGTATCCCTTGTATGGCCCCCCACAATGCCACAATGGCCCTGCTAGTGGCCACAGTGGCACTCCGTCCACCACAGTTTCCTGCAACCTGATCCACCACAGAGCCGCCTCCACCACCCCCCGCCCCTCCCCCAGCACACCCTTACATACACCTCCAACACCCACCCATACACCCCCAGCACCCACCCATACACCTCCAACACCCACCCATACACCCCCATCACCCACTCATACACCCACAATCATGTATCCCGCGTGACCAAATTCTTCACTTACACTCATCAATAATGTATATTACTACAAGGAATGTGAGTATAGCGTGTAGCGCTGTAACCAGTGAGATACAGGCTTCTGTACTTACTTCTCATCTGACAAGGTCATCATATATAATAAAATATTATTTTGTTACAAAGTTTTGATAAATATTCATCACAAAATTGTTAGAGTAGTTTGGTGTTGGGTGAAAACCTATCAACCTTCGCAGAGTTGTTAAGGCAACTACAATAACTTATTAGTAAACAATGATTAAGCAGTAGCAATAGTAGTGGTAGTAGTATAAGTAGTAGTAGTAGTAGTAGTAATAATAATAATAATAATAATAATAATAATAAATAATAATAATAATAATAATAATAATAATAATAATAATAATAATAATATTAATAATAATAATAAAGGTAACCACTATAGCAAGAATGGGCGCATGTGACCAGTTCTTCACAAGAGCCAGCAGCAGGATTACTAAGGTCGGCGCGCCGGGGATTATGTTATTAAATTTTTGACAAGTAGGTGCTAATTGCGAGCGGCATGAGGTCACCTGCCCTCACAGGTCAACGCCACACCCAAGACGCCCCGATGATTGTTATAACACTAGCGATCGTTAGAGCAATGCTAATAACACCAACACTGCTACTGACAATACCAATAATAATTTAGTACACAGCCATACACAGTTTTGATCGCGTATATAATTCAGCAAAAATGCAAATGGTCATTAATATATAAGTTTGCATATAGGTGTATACTGTGCTCCGGAGAGATGTATCGCCCTTCACGGTGTATACCAACACTAAAAGTTTACTCTTGCCCAGGATAATGTTTAGGATTAGAGTATACTTGCTGGTTAGTTAAGAGCGCCCGGTGTTGTGACAAGTTTCGAGGTGTGTGTTGTGTTGGTCCACACACACATGGTGTTGCACATGTCTGCAACACTGCTCACACATGTCTGCAACACAGCTCACACATATCTGCAACACTGCTCACACATGTCTGCACACACAAGCGGGACCAAAGAGCCAGAGCGCAACCCCCGCAAGCACAACTAGGTAAGTACACAGCTCACACATATGTGTAAGTGTGCAAATTCTACACCTATGAACTGGTGTAGTTGTCACAACTAATATTCGACCAATGAGTCGTTAACGGCTCTAGGCCTACTTATTCCTAATCTTCCATTTGTATTTTTGCATTCATGTTTTTTTCTCTCTCTCTCACTGACTTGAGGACAGTGTTGCCGGTAATATTTCTACACTAAGCTGCTAATTCCAGTGATATATGTAGCGCCTTCTAAGTCATCGTGGTTTTGAGTTGGTTATCCTGTTCGTCTAAATTCAAATTCAAATTCAATTTTTTTTATTCAGGTAAAAGTACTTACATAGATGAAGAGTTACAAACATAATGTTGGATTT